CAGTCAATCTACGCAGACTGAATCGGTCCCTAAGGAAACCCCGAAAGGCGGTGCCGATCCTCTTTCCGCTCCGTTCACGTTGACTAGGTCACTTAGGCAGGGCTGCCCACTTGCCCCCTTCCTTTTTGTGTTGCAGATGGAAGTTTTGCTCAATCACAGCAGACGCCACCCTAGTAGCATCAGGGTACTACTAGTGGTATTAACTACTTTCGTAAGGAAACCCTGGTATTAACAGGATGCTCGTATCACCTCCAATAGCAGGGTGCCACAGATGTTTGCCATTCTAGTATTTGCTATGCACGGTTATGACTGTGAAGGATTAGGGTAGAGTGGAGGACAGTTTGTTATCCTCCCCATTGCTACACCTTCAAACATGCTGTGACCTGGCTGATATTTGGGAGGGCAGTCAATCCCCTCATGAGAGGGCAATCAATGCAGTTCCGCCAGGTATATTGCCTCCGATCTTGTCAGTGGGACGCTGGACCCGGTTTCCAGCAGGTGATGCTCCCCATCACCCGTTTATTACACAGGGTACTACTAGCGGTATTAGTACTATTAACTACTTTCAAAAGCTGCACAGTATACTGAGTATAGGGTCAGTCGCACTGCCACTTTCACAATCTCTTTTTGCTTGCTGTTCGAGATAACATTGATCTGAATCTCAGACGAACAAAAAAATACGAAAAAAAAAAAAGAGATGGTAAAATTAGCGCAAAACAAGGTGGAGCGTTTAACTCCAAGTTCAGCTAAAAGTCTCATTGAAATTTTACGACTCCTTAGGTACATATATTCTTGTGTGAATGTTCAGTATTGCACATTAAAGTTGATTAAACCACCACTAACCTTTCCCACTGTTGGGAAAATGGAAAAAAAAAAAGACCAGTTGACATAGCTCAGTGGTTACCTGCAAAGTCAATCCTCTGGAGGACAGAGTAATCAATGCTGGCAAGTGTCTTTCTCGGTTATATTTTTTCCCTGACATTTGCATGATTCGTTCTGTGTACAAGGGACGCTGGACCCGTTTTCCAGCAGGTGATGCTCCCCACCAATAGATGGAGCCTCTCCCCGGGTGCTAGTGCTGCCTGCTTTTACCAGCAGCACTAGCACTGCAGGGG